TTGTGTGTGGGGGGGAGGGGGTTTGTTCCCTGCCCCTTCCCAACCCCATTCCTAAATAACCCCAGAACATTTGCTCAACCCTACCCAGTTTCCCAGGACAGGAACTCCTATTTCATGACTTGCTCACATTGTCATCGGAAATTAATTTTGCCCCTGAAAGACAAATTGGCTGGTAGCTTACGAAGCGAAATGGGGAAGAACAAGAAGGCATCTGTTTCTTCTGCATTTTGTCTCCTTGGTGTCTTACATATAAATGAATCTGAGTGTTCAAACTTAAATTAAGATCTTTGGCTAGATAAACAGTTAAAACTGGTTCCCATAGCTACCTCTCACACATAGCTGTGATTGCATTATAATCCCCTAGTAATCAGGTCTAAATGAAAGAAAGATGATAAGGGCGCTATTTTCAGTTTTCAGTACTGATTTTTATTAGCTCTCAATCAGATCGGGTCTGCTTTGCCTTTCATCACATTGTGGCTATGTTTGTAGAATCATTAGAGTTATAAAGTGTAAATCTTCCCAAGGTGCATTTTTCTCCCCTTGAGGTGCTTTCGAGAAGGAAAACTCTGGAGATTACACTGGTTGCTACAAGGAAGATCTGTTTCAGCAGCCAGAGTGGCAATGCAACGTATGTTGTCTTCATTTATCCTGGACCCATGTGAATACCTACTGAGTTGCCTAACTTAAAAGGAACACATAGAAGGGTGAGAGAGAAGCCAACCAGCAGCCACAAAAAATGTATTTGCCGGAACACAATCACACTATGGATTGTAAAGTGTACATAAGGCAGCTGTTTCTTAATCTGCTTTGTTATCTTGCTTTGCATCATTCCCAATGCATTTCCATGTGCAAATGAATTGTAGGCAAAACCACAGGCTTGGCCGGGACTAGAATGTTGTTTTTAGGGAGGTAAAGCAAACCTAATAAAAACATCATGCTGCAGCAATACATGAGTATTTCTGTTGGGGCCTGTTTCAGACGAAGAGACTGGAGCAGCTCTCTGGAGTGTGGTGCACAGGAGAAACAAGTGCCAGCGTTGGGATGAGACTAGACCTAGCCAATAAAGTCACGCTGACATCTATCAATCCACAGTTCCTTCCCAAACAAGCTTATGAAACAACAACAAAAGCATCAATGCAACAAAAGATAAGCTGTTTTAGATGCCAGTGGGAATGTTTGGGGCTGCAATCCTATACCCACTTGCACAGGAGGGCTTACAGCTGCCTAAATACTCGTAGGATTGCACTGTTGATAACATGCCCAACTCTTCTACTGCAATCAAAAGGATTCCAAAGTTATTCATTTTGGAAGGCCCGTTGATCAAGCCAACTTCCCATGCATGGTGGACATTGCCATCTCAGCCAGCCATCGCCTAATGTGCCAAAGGATGAGGAAAATATGGCCATTCCCCTCTTAACCACATTTTTAACCACCAGAGGCAGAACTAAAATTGTTATTAGGCGCAACAAAATGTCCCCCACCATCCTCATTTGTTACTTGAATGCCATTTTGTTCATTATCCACATTTTCCATTTGGCCGGATCATATGTGGGAATTTGTTTATTTATTTAAAGGCCTTTAAGGTAAAGGTAAAAGGACCCCTGACCATTAGGTCCAGTCGTGGCCGACTCTGGGCTTGTGGCGCTCATCTCGCTTTATTGGCTGAGGGAGCCGGCGTACAGCTTCCGGGTCATGTGGCCACCATGACTAAGCCGCTTCTGGCGAACAGAGCAGCGCACGGAAACACCGTTTACCTCCCCGCCGGAACAGTACCTATTTATCTGCTTGCACTTTGACGTGCTTTCGAACTGCTAGGTTGGCAGGAGCTGGGACCGAGCAATGGGAGCTCACCCCGTCACGGGGATTCGAACCGCGAACTTCTGATTGGCACCCGTGTCCCTTAAAAGGCCTTTACTGCGACTTAAATCATTAGGCCGTTCTAAGTGGTGCACATGAAATAAAACAATGAAAGTCATCCTAAAACTGAAGCCGGCCTTAAAATGCCTGCTGGATTAAGAAAATTTGGGTCATGCGCCCAAAGTTCAGCAAATGGGGTGCCTCTGGGCTTTGGCCTGTAACACGGCTTCTGACTTTGCAACATGCGCCTTTCGCTCAGTCGCCACATGTCTCCAGTACTGAGTTGAAGAAGGTGAGTGTTCCTTTTTCTCAGAGGTGGACTGTGTAAATGCATTTTCCCTAGATGAGGGATAAGGAAGCTGTGACCCTCCAGACATAGTTGGGCTTGTTGTTTGCATCTGTCTGTCCCAAGAGACAATGGAGTGCACCTCTGGGGGTGAAGTCAAACTGCTGCATTAGCAGCATCAAAGTGACCTCACTGGGGCGCAAGCCTGGGCAGCATGTATGGAGGTCCCGGTCTGACCAGAGTACAAGACCCCCCTCTTGGCCTTGCTGATGCGGTCCAAAGGAAAGCACAGCAATATGTTTGGCACCAGCTTGATTGCAGGAGTTGCTGGAAGGAGGCATATAAGGCTCCATCCCACCATCATAGGGTCTCCGCTCTGGATTTGTGTAGGGTTTTCTCCTTAGCCTTTCCTTCTAAACGGCCTTGGTCCTGTATACTTGAAGGAGCGTCTCCACCCCTATCATTCAGCCCGGACACTGAGATCCAGCGCTGAGGACCTTCTGGCGGTTCCCTCACTGCGAGAAGTGATGTTACAGGGAACCAGACAGAGGGCCTTCTTGGTAGTGGTGCCCGCCCTGTAGAACACCCTCCCTTCAGATGTGAAGGAAATAAGCAGCTATCTTATCTTTAAAAGACAGCTAAAGGCAGCCCTGTTTATGGAAGTTTTTAATATTTAATGCTGTATTGTTTTTAACACTTGATTGGGAGCCGCCCAGAGTGGCTGGGGAAACTCAGTCAGATGGACGGGGTATAAATAAATTATTATTATTAATAATAATATTCTCCCAAAGATATCCCACAAGGCAATGGAAGTTTTGGATCAGAGTTTTCCCATCTGCCCCTCACTTCCCTCGACAGCACAGGCTGAAACCGCCTTCTTGACTGCTGGACCTACTATTGATCTCATCCACTCAATCCACCGGAGCCTGTCTTCACATGCAGGGGAAGCCCCCAACACACCAAGGGTCTGAGACCCATCGGCTTCCCTCACCTGGTCTAGCTGGCCAGTCAAAGCCATTTCCCGGGATGCGGCTGTTGTCGCACGCTGACAGCTTCTAGGAGCCACGGGTGAGATCTGAGTGCAGGGTGGGGACCAAAGGTAGACCAACTACCCCAGAAGGAGCATGATGTACTGGAGGTACTATCTCCTCCCCTAAGACCCCATTTACCCCATTATTGGACTACAGCTCCCATATCACTTACCATTGGCCACAATGCATGGGCCTGATGCCAAATGGAATGCAACAGCTCCCTGGGATTCTCAGGTTTCTATTCCATGGTCTAGACACCTAGTCTTGGGATTGTAATAGTATTCAATATATGATCTTGGGAATCAAGGGTTGGAGTCAAGGGTGAGCACCAGGGCCAGGTACTGACCCCCTTAATTGTGCTGCTACCTTGTAAGTTGCGGTTTCATATTGAGGTCTCTTCTTTTATGCAGCGGTACCTCGGGTTACAAACACTTCGGGTTACAAACTCCGCTAACCTGGAAGTAGTACCTCGGGTTAAGAACTTTACCTCAGGATGAGAACAGAAATCACATGGCGGCAGCAGGAGGCCCCATTAGCTGAAGTGGTACCTCAGGTTAAGAACGCTTTCAGGTTAAGAACGGACCTCCGGAACGAATTAAGTTCGTAACCAGAGGTACCACTGTACTGGCCTATTCTTACGTGCATGCACACACTTTTAAATTCTAAGCCGCAACCTCCAAAGTTGCATCATTTATTATTATTATTATTTTATTTTATTTGAAACCCCCCCCCCAACAACAACACTTCAGTTTGTAAGATGCTGTTTTGGGATCAGAAGTCCTGCATGCTTCTGTGGACAGGGTGCTCTTTTGTATGTCTTTGACGTTTCTGTTATATCTTTTCTGATCTAGTTCTCCCGGGAGCATTTCAAAGAAAGTTAATAATCTCCTCAAATAAGTGTGTAGAGTCTTTTGGAAACGAACCCCAGATTAACTCCATGCTTTAAAAAACAACAACAAAAAACACATCAGGAGTTTTCTCAGTATGTTGCATATCTGAAATTATCATTTAAATACCACAGCAAATTTATTTTACATATGCTGTATTGTATGTGGAACATGATTCAGCACAATGTGTGATATGGTAGCATTAATAATTTAAACATAATGGAAAAATGGTGGTGGGATTTATAACAACAACAACAACATATTTATACCCCACCCATCTGGCTGGGTTAGCACAATAAAATAAAATATCAAACATTAAAAACTTCCCTAAACAGGGCTGCCTTCAGATGTCTTCTAAAAGTCAGGCAGTTATTTATTTCCTTGACATCTGATGGGAGGGCGTTCCACAGTGCGGGTGCTGCTACTGAGAAGGCCCTCTGCCTGGTTCCCTGTAACCTCACTTCTCGCAGTGAGGGAGCCACCAGAAGGCCCTCGGAGATGGACCTCAGTGTCTGGGCTGAGCAATGGGGGTGGAGATGCTCCTTCGGGTATCCTGGGCCAAGGTCGTTTAGGGCTTTAAAGGTCAGCACCAACACTTTGAATTATGCTTGGAAACGTACTGGGAGCCAATGTAGGTCTTTCAGGATTGGTGTGGGTGAGATCCTATAGAGCACAAGAGGCATTCACTCTTGCAAAGAGATTTCTCTTTCTTCTTCTCCCCCTGTAGCTTCCCAAATCTACTCTGGAGGGTTTGGGGGACATGGGTGGTGGTGATCAGAGGGGGCCTGGAGGGGGAGAAGAGAAACCAGAAATCCCGCTGTGCATGCAGATTTCCATTGGACAAGCAGGCAAACATCAATGGATAGCATCATAGAATTGCCGAGTTGGAAGGGACCACGAGGGTCATCTAGTCCAACCCCCTGTAATGCAGGAATCTTTTGCCCAACGTTGGGCTTGAACCCACAACCATGAGATAAAGAATCTCATGCTCTCCTACCTGAGCTATCCCTGGATGTTGCCCTTACATATTTATATATACCTGCCATGTTACTTGTTCCTAAACTTCAAAGATGTGTACAGTTATTCAAAACCAAGGCAGCATTGCAAAGCTGTTGATTATTCGTATTCTAAATATTATTCATATCACTCACTTGCAAAGTATTTTTCACCTACGTTTTCTTTCAATCCGCCAGATACAATCCTGTGTACAATGCACAATTTGTATGTATGTTACATGTTAACACTCTTAGAGAAAATCCTGAGAATTAGTGGTGCAGTTAGTCAAATTTTATAAGATGATCTGAAGTCAAGAAGTTTTCTCTCAAAGAATATATATATGGCAGAGATCATTAAACATTAACACTCAAGGGGAGTAAAAAAAGAAGAAGAATCAAAATCAGTTCATAAAAACATATACTGAAACAGCAACATTTGGGTGTAAAAAATTAATCTGGTGCCGCGTTAAATAATATGCAGAGGCTCTCATCTTAAAATGCTTGATTCGTCGTTAATATTTCAAACTCCATAAGCTAAAATTCAACATTGATTCTTTCAAAAGCAGAGCAAAATACAGCAATCTGAGGTTTTGTTTGCGAGCATTTCTGGTCCCGTTAAGCACATATAATATCGGAGAGATGTTGCTGTAGCTAACGACACACTCGGAAAATAAGGCTAAAATTGTAGACTCCCGATGATCAACAGATAACAATATGTGCTGTGTATAAATAAATGTTCGGCATCAAGAGCCATTATTGGATTAGCTATATAATCATGATGCAGGCGGTACGTCTGTGCTGACAAATGAACACTTTTCATTTGGCTCAAGGTCCTCATCAGCAACGGAACTAATTTTACATTCTCACCCATTAAGTGAATAAGATGTGGGGGAAAGCTGTCTGCTTTTTGAAGTGTAAATTTGCTGCTACAGGGCTGTGCAGACCAAAGCTCTTTTGAAGCACTGAAATGCGATCATCTCGGGGGACATGTGAACCTGACCGGTTTAGGTCATTTGTGTAAAAAGGTATAGAAGGGGTGAGCGCCAAGGAGGAGTCATTTGGCTATGGTTTTAGACAGATAACAGGGCCATTTGGATGATTCTAAACTTTACAAGTCTCTCTCCCCTTATCTCGGCGAATAGAAAAGAGCTTCCCGCAGAAGCCCGCAGATATCTTTTGAGAGCTCAGGAAAAGAAGCCTTATTATACATATCTGAAGTGGCTGCTTCGCAAAGACTCTGAAGTCTCGGGATCTCTTGCTTTTGTAATGTTCTGAATGTCGTCTTCCAAGGAAGCACAACATTTTTAGGAGAAACCTCATATATCCGAGCAGAAAAACCAGACCCTCCAAGTGTCCCTGTTTTCTAGGGACAGTCCCGGATTTACAGAAGCCGCCCCGGTTTCTGATTTGATCCCGGAATGTCCTGCTTTTTCTTAGGACGTCCCTATTTTCATCGGAGAAATGTTGGAGGGTATGGTAAAGTAAAGTAAAGGTAAAGGGACCCCTGACCATTAGGTCCAGTCGTGACCGACTCTGGGGTTGCGGTGCTCATCTCGTTTTATTGGCCGAGGGAGCCAGTGTACAGCTTCCGGGTCATGTGGCCAGCATGACTAAGCTGCTTCTGGCGAACCAGAGCAGCGCACGGAAATGCTATTTACCGTCCCGCCAGAGCAGTACCTATTTATCTACTTGCACTTTGATTTGCTTTCGAACTGCTAGGTTAGTAGGAGCAGGGACCGAACAACGGGAGCTCCCTGTCACGGGGATTCGAACCGCCAACCTTCTGATCAGCAAGTCCTAGGCTCTGTGGTTTAACCCACAGCACCACCTAGTGATTTAATTTACTGAAATGGGGAGGTGAGGTGCTTAAATGCATTACTGTGTGTTTAATTCTGGAATGTTCCCCAGCAACTCTTGTGTGATTGGTTCATGCTGGTCACATGGGAGGTATCTTATTACATTCTCCATTTTGTTTTGTGTGAGAGTGACTGCATTTCCATGAACACTGAAGAAGAGACAGTGTTAGATTGGGCTGCCATACATCCGGGTCTTCCCGGGAAAACCTGGACATATGGCAAGAATGTTTTTTTGTGTGTGTAAACAAACAAACAAAAAGTTTTAAAAAGAAAAACGGTTAAATTTTGGGGAGATGCTCCCTCCCAAAGCTCAACTTTGACCAAAACTCAACTTTTAACTTTTGGGAATAAGGCAACCCTAGCATTAGATAGCTCTCTAAACAGGAGAGGAGTGCTAAGATCCAGCTTTCCCCAACCTGCTTCTGTTCAGATATGTTGAATGACAATTTCTATAGCATAGCTGATAGTCAGGGACGATGGAAGCTGTGGTCCAAAATATCTGGACACAGCATCAGGTTGGGGAAGGATGCTTGAGACAACAGGCTAAAATTAAACATGAACTTAGTAAACTGGAGAGCTGAGCAAATAGCAGAAGCAAGCATGCAGCAATAGGAAACCCAGTAAAGTCAAATGTAACATCTCACACAGATGAACGACACACCAAAAGCACAAGTATATGATGATATACAAGTATATAGCAAAAAATAAACCATGATTTGGAAAGTACCTCTTCAATCAGCATTGCTAAGTTTTCATTTGAAGAGCTATATTCAGGCTTGGACACAACAGCTCCGAGAAGCTGTTTGACAAGCTGAGAAGGGTGGAATCTACACACATATAAAAAAAGTTCTGAAAGTGATTTTTTAAAAAAGCGTTTTTAAAAATACATTGAATTTTCTATAAGTCTCACCATCCTATGGACTCAGCTATACAGCTGCAAATGAAATGTTTTAAATGTGTTGTAAAGTGCAATATACAAATGCGACACCAGATGGCGAAAGTGAGCTATGACAAATCCAATGTATTTTTCAAAACATATTTTTTTAAAAGTATTTTCTCAGCATTTTTTATATGCGTGTAGTTTCCACCACAGTTGCTGCTTGAATGATAACAAAGAGTCTAAGGCTGTGTATACCCCATACATGTGAAGCACACACACTACCCAAGAATCCTGGTAGTTTGTTAAGGATGCTGGGAACTATAGCTGTGTGTGTGGGGTGGGGGTAAAACTACAATTCCCAGGACACAACTACACACTGCAGATGACATGCTAGTGTGCCATGATACACAGCTTGGAAAGGAAAAGTGGGACATTCCGGGATCAAATCAGACACCGGGACAGTTTCTCTAAATCAGGAACATCCCTGGAAAATGGGGACACTTGGAAGGCTGCAACATAGGGAAGAGCAGGCACAGGCAAGCTCGGCCCTCCAAATGTTTTGGGACTACAATTCCCATCGTCCCTGTCCACTGGTCCTGTTAGCGAGGGAAGATGGGAGTTGTAGTCCCAAAACAGCTGGAGGGCCAAGTTTGCCTATGCCTGGGGAAGAGGTTCTTAGTTGGCTAAATGGAAACATCGGTTGGCTTTTCGGCTAGACCCACTTGATGGGCTCCTGAAAATTAGAGAAATGAACATGACTGAACTCTTCAAGAAGCGATAGCACTTCTTGGGACAATCTTGCTGTACTGCAGATCATGGAGTCAGCTATGATAACCTGGCATAACTCCGCCTTGTGAGGTTTGCACTAGTGTAGAAGGAGACCTGAAAGGTTTGGCAGTTTCATGACATACAGAATTGCCCCCCAAAGGCCATCTCTTTCTGTAAGCCTCACCTTCGCAAAGTAGCGAATGGGCATTGTGCTGGTGGCACGTTAAAGGCAAATGGCTCACCTTGTTTTCAGCTCTGTGGGCTATCACAGGCACCTAAAAAGCCCATATTTATATCTCCTCAAGATGCTAACAGGGGAGTTTCTCCCTGAGGTACAGGGACACATAAACGGAAGATCTAAAGTCAGCAATAAAAGTGTGCAGCCTTCTAATTGATGTAGAAAATGAGATGAGAGAGTTTGCTTTCCTCAACAGATTATTTGTTTCCTGTTTCTTTAAAAGAGAATTCTAAAGAGGGCGGGAGGGGGGAAATGAAAATAGAATCCTCTAGTGGTCTTAGTATATAATTTTTTAAAAAAATCAGAAATGTGAGTTATTTTGGGAGAGGGAGAGAGGGTAGGGGGAGAGAGAGGGAGAGGGAGGAAGAGAGACAGACTTTGTGGCCTTCGGCAGATTCTGCCCCCCCCTCTACTTCCCCATCTGTAAAACACAACTTCAACTGATTATATTTACACCCTTTTTTTGGCAGAGCAGGGCAATTAATTAATGTCTGGGGGGGGGGGAATCTTGGGAAGTACTGTGATGCTGTAAACTACAAAGGTCCCGCAAAGTTCATGCTAGCCAAAGGGATCAAGAGAAATAAGAGGCGTTAAAAATTATATCAAAGACAAAACAGAGAAGATGGGGAAACCTATCAGGCACAAGTATCCTAGAACTACTTAGCAAGAAACATTTCTGTGTGGACTCCTATTGGAAACGTTTCCAAACAGCTGCTAATGGTATCCTGAAATTGGTGGCTCGGCACACTTTGAGAATTAAAACAGCACAATATGAAAAATTATTAGGAAGGATGAAACACAATTAAAGAAAACTTAGTACGCCTTCCTATAAATTTGCACTTCATTTTCGCCTTTAATGCTGAATGTAGTAGTCATTCTTTATCCAAAGGCTGTTTGATGCTTTGCTTTAACAACTCTGCAGCTAGCGTCGTCTCGTAATTGGAGGGGGAAAGAGCGCTCACATTGCTAGCCTAGGCTGCATGCATGGCTGGCGCGTGAAGTTACCTTGTCTTTTTTCAGTTGTCCACTGTTGTGGCTCGAGAACCCGCCACCGCATAGGATTATAATAAGACACAAAGACACATTATTTTTGGATAATGGGCAAAATAAGGCCACAACTTTATTGGTTACAGCATGTGAGTAGTATTGGATAAAACAGCAATACATGACTCCACCCTGCTCAGCAGGCAGTCACTTCAGGGTTAACAACCAGTGGGAGGAGCTTGTTGATGCAAATACAACTGGAAGCTTCCCCATGATGTCAGCGGGTGGCGTGC